TTGTAACTTTTGTCAAATATTAGTTAATCTAGTATTTTCTCTCAGTTTTTGTGTAAATTGTAACTTTTGTCAAATATTAGTTAATCTTGTATTTTCTCTCAGTTTTTTTGTAAATTGTGTTTAATTTGAGTGATATTATTATCTTTGTTGTTTGATACAAGGACAGTATGGCTAATGCTCAGATCAAAGTTAAGTTCATCACCAACAGAAGAGGCGGACAGAACCTTTCACATAATGGATTCATCTTCAGACAGATTCGAAAGAACGGCAGCAGGACATTCTGGAGATGTTCGACCTCAGGCTGCTCAGCATCACTCTCGACAATCGACAACATACCAGCTAACTTCGGAAGAAATCCACACACCCACGCCTCAGACCCAGCCAGTGTTGTAGCCAAACAGATCATGAACCAGATCACCAACAAATGCGTATAATCGGTCCAGCCTATTCCGTCCATCTTTGAGGAAGAGCTCAATCAACTCTGAGACAACGACTGGGATGACACTTCCAAGGCCGTGGTCCAGCGACTACCAACATTCTACACAGCGAAATCGTCTCTTTACCGTGCTCGCCGCAAGCAGACTCCTCCACTACCAAAGGCTTTGGCCGACATCACCTTGGATGGAAGATGGACAGAAGCATCTACAGGCGAACCATTTCTCCTCTTTGACGACGGTGAACAGAACAACAGGATGATCGCATTCGCTTCGTCGGAGAACCTGGCCGAACTTGCAGCATCTGACACCTTCTTCTGTGACGGAACTTTCTACAACTGTCCAACAATGTTTCATCAGATTAACAGCGTCCATGTACAGAATGAAGGCATCATGACACCAGTCGTATACGCATTACTTCCCGTAAAGAGCCAGGCAATCTACAGCCGTTTCTTCACCCTTCTCCAGGATCACATGGCACACTTCGACATTCCATTCCGACCCACTACAGCCTTCGTTGATTTTGAGGTAGCTGCACACAATGATAGAGGGAGATCGTACCACCTGGAACCACTTCTCAACCGAGGGACCCCGGACTACTAACCATCTGGAAGCTTGGCAAGGAAAACTGAAGAAGGTACTGCATGCCCACCCCAACATCTACACCATCATCCAGACGTTTAAGGACATACAGAACATGAACGACATCAGCCGGATTCAGAGAGATGCAGGAGGCACCATTCAACCCCGGAAGAAGAAATACGCCAACATTGACAGACGCCTGGCCACCTTGAAGGACCGTTACCAGACTGGGACAATCGACCTGATGACCTATGCCGATTCAGCATCCGAGCTTCTGCATCTTGGATAGAGTGTTTTGTGTTTTCTGGACTTATGGATTACTTGATTATCACAGGTTGTAAAAGGACATAATATCTAGATAAATGGATTATGTATTGTCATACATAGTGCTAATTCAGCTTCATTTAGGGGTTTACTATTTATATTAGATCATACTTTATTTAATGCTAAGATGTGGATAATGTTTCAACATCATATATATGTAATACAAATACAATTTAATAACAGACATCAGTGTATCATTGTGACTTACTAAATTTTATTTATCAATTAAATATAATCTTATATGATAATCATTAAAATAATAAATAACAATTTTAAATACTAATAATTAATAACTATTTTGTAATACTTAATATACTAAAAAATGTGTTACATTTATATATGTAAAACAAAAAAACTTTACCTATTTCCTTATTGATATGTACGTATCCTATTTACAAGGACAAGTTGACATTCTTAGTTGAAACAGACTATAACTTTAACATCAAAGGATTCCCTTTATAAACACCCTCCTTTCAAGTTGGCAGAGTTGGTGTTCGGGGAATGAGCCCTTGCCATTGCCATAGTTTAACGAGCACATTGTGAAATTTGAAACCTTTTTTCTGTGCTCTCCCTGAACGAAACTTTCGAAAACATATTTACTTTTGTTATTTAGTATGTCTTAAGCGTCCATCAAATTGATTTAATCTAATTTATATACTCTTCACTACACTAGACTCTTCAAGTTGAAAGGTATTTACGGAATCAGTTGCGTAATATCTTTTTTCTGATGAAATACGCAGTGACATGAATTAAGTTAAGATGATTTACAAGTCCAATAATCGGACGTGTTTATTGTCGAGATTTCGTGACTGTTGTATCTCAATGTTACATGTGATTTACAAACCCTTTATATCATTCTATACCTACGTTAATTACATCAACAGAAGAGTACTGACAGTGTTTAGAAATGGCATACTTACTTGACTCTTATATTACGCTTTATAAATCATGCGTGTAATGATTGGTAAGGTTTTCCGTCTTAAGGTTTTAAACCGATATTTTGTATTGATTCTTGTATTAGAAAGCGTCTTTTGTTTCATCCGCGACATCCGCCATGTAAACTTTGGTCTATCCAATGTTACGCTCTCAGATGAGACCAAGGTACCCAACAATGGAACCAACAGGCACACTTATATCCACCAAAAATATAATATTTTTCAATGAGATCACCATGACGACCAAAAAGCTTTCCTAAAAGTTTTCTTCGTCTCTTGAAACCGTACGTATATCGAGTCTGTCTGTTGACATCCTGCACGAAAATTGTGCTACTGGGAAGAAGTCCTTGGATATGTAATAAATAAAGTAAAGAGCTGATATTTTTTATTTTCTTTCTAAAGGTGAACTACCAGGATTATCAATGGGTATATGAAAGGGATTAAAACGGTGGGAAGTGGTTGAGGAAGGAGAGCAATATGAGGTGGGCAGAGGAAAATATCGGAAGGCGATTGGCACTATCGGCACCATTGTTAAGCTTTAAAGTGGCGATCTAGTCAGAGACAGAAAATCTCAACCTATACATAATGATACCATTTAAGATATCGAATCATTTCATAGCAAATTAACAAGTAATTGGATTCGACAAGTTGGCGAAAATTTGAATTGTAACCTTGGCCGAGTGATTTGGCCAGTTACTATTAATTTCGCAATGCTGCTTTTATCGATTTATCTGGTGTGTGATGGTGATCAATGTGCACATATCTTACTTTATATTACGTCTGCATATTGTAGATCTGGGATGGGAAAACAAACGTGGAGCTTATGTAATAAGCCTCGTTTCTGGAAAATGTTGGGGTAATTTGTTTCTTCTCTTAACAAATAAACCATGTTTAAATCAAACACAATCACGCCACCAAGTATCAACTCATGATACTTAATTTTATTATTATTCGAAGTGAAGTGTTTTGCCATTATTGCTTCAAGTCAGGTTCCCGTGTTTATTGAACCCATCACAAGGTGTTTCCAGCACGCTCGACATTATATACAGTCTCTCATTCAATAAAGAAATGATATATTATTATGCACTGCGACGTGTTTACCTATTAAGCGACAATGGTATGTGCGTGTACCTGTTATCAATATGATTTAAAGTATAATATATTGTCAAATAATGCTTGTACTGATCGGTCTTGAAAAGTTCACTAGATTGACCGTGGGAAGTTGTACAATGATAACTTCCTTGTCTTCACTTTGTGTAATAGGTAAAAAGAGACGTAAACGAGAACCACCAGTAAATTGAAATACAATCATTTTTTTTACCTCCCGACCGCTAACAGGAGAAAATGGTATTTTAATTCGTAGATTATAAGTATATAAGTAGACAATCGAATTTCCGATAGCTGATTTTTATACAAAACTGTGATCCATGATAGAGCCAATTAAAAATTGCAAATTACAATCTACAAAATGATTGCTGTCTTTAATGTATAGCAATGGTTATAATTTGAGTTTAAGTTTGTTGATGGGTTTCGACAAACTTTTCAACAACTTACACGCAAAATACGCAATAAAAATGTTATATTGGAAAAAGCACTTATCAATAGAAATTTAGTAACATATGTAGTATCTGCAGATACATATAACTACCACTTTCACTTTTGGTTTTTGTTAATGATCAGAAAAATCCCCAAGAAGAGATGATCACTGTCAAAAGTTGGGGTCCTCACTTAAACAAACAAGTATCATTATAGAACTATATATACTCTTGTGTTTATTTCCTGTCAAACCGAAAGTACAAAATGTAATTTCACATATTTTTTTTTTCAAATGACGATGATAAAATAAAATCAGCTGAAAAATGTTCCACGGAATAATAAATAGGTTAACGATAAATGTGTTTTAGCACTGTTGGTTTAAAAAATGCATACGCGATAAGGGCCAGGGAAACCGTCAAACTGTTAAGTACTATATCGACCAGGACATCATCAGCTTAACCATGTCAAAAGCAGAAGTGGAAATTCTTCTTTTTCTAGGTTTGTAATTTACTAAATAATAAAAGACAATAAGATTTATAATTCATTTGCATTATGCTTATCTTTGGCATGACGTTATATTAAGTCGAGACTTCAGGTGAAAACATAGAGTAATTCAATGTTGTGACTTTTGCACTGTGCGAATTCGTCAATGATATCTTTTCTGGGGTGCTCCCACGTCGTGGATTTTAAACTATGTATTGCCACTGTGGTTTCTACAATGTCGGATGAATTCATCGACTGCTAAGCCATGAGTCATATCGAAGATTTACTTACACTACAGTGAATAACTGTCATTCTGCACCTACATAATGTTTTCAAGTTATCATATTAGTGTATGTAGAACGCACAGGTGACTAAGTGCACCATGTCACAGGGTAGAGACAATAGTGCCAGACAACTCAGTGTATTTTTTTTAAATATAAGCATTGGCGTATTGATCATGTCGCACGGTTGGGCGATTCAGGAAGTTGAATAGTTTAGGCAATCAGTGGAAAATTTCAACAGCAAATCTAAACATCTACGTCAACAAATGCTGACAATCTGAGAGGGTTAAAGGGCACGTGTATTTGTAGAGGCACACTGTAAACTCGTTGCAGTCCACCGTATTAGTATCTGCGTTTCCCTTTTTGCAAACAAATTCAAACGGACTTGGGATATATCTGCTGTAAAGTATATCAATACGAGCGATATGGCAAGCTTTCTTAACAGGAAGAAGATTTTTGGAGATTACATCGAGATAGATCAGTTAGGGAAAGGAACATTTGGACAAGTTTTTCTGGTAAAGAAGAAAGACGACACAGGGGAGACTGATTCACGAACACAGGTAGGTGTTGTTTACCTGTACATCAAACTGTATAATGACTAACTAGTGCGTCTGTTACAACATGCTCGGGGATCGACCTAGATTAATTTAGGTGATTAAATGCTACTGCACCACCGACTAAATCTGGAGTATAGGAATCAGAATAAATAGAGACGAAGTTCTCGGTTTGTTTTAGATTTATTGTTTTTTTATTTTGTTTCTTTTTTAAAGTAAACTTTAATCAGTGAGACAATACAAGAACATTAACATATAAGACGCAGACATATGTTGACAATATACAATGCATTTTATGGAACCAACTCACCGTTTAAGAGGTCGAATTATTGTGAACATATTCATTCATATCTTAATTTAATTTGTTGACGTAATCAGTATTGTGATTTGTGATGTAACTTTCAGTTCCTAATTGTGTAATCTGCACATTAGCTCTTCCGATATATTTTGATTTTCCCCTTTATTTGTATTCCAAATCTAACTAGCGAAACAATTTATATTAACACCTTAATGTTAAGACATATTGATTTATAGTGTAAATCCTCAGGCTTATAGTGTAGAACTAGTGATTTAGTGATTTATACTCAAGATGAAGCGATTCGTTTCCAGGTAGGAGGGTATTGTACGCAAAACTATCATTACTCCTGTATAAGTGAAAACAAACAAGGAAGTTGATTTCTTGCGCATGAGTGCATAGATTGAACCATTTTAGACACATCCCGGCATGTTTGTTATCTTTAATGCATGTTCTTGACATGACAAAAACAAGCACATTTTTCCAAACCAACTAATTGTATTTGATAAAGAAATTTTTTGATTGAAAAAAAAAAAAAAAACCAACAAAAAACACAAAGGCCGCACGGCCTGTAGGTACACATACATAATCATATACAATATATTTTTTTATATTAAATAAAGAAAATAGGATTATTAGAGACACATTCGTTTAGAGTCAGGTATGTGTGTTTTCTTTAACATGTAGAAGTTTGCTCTAAAGAAGATTCCGTTTCCGGAAGCAAATCGCAAGCGAGAAGAGGAACTTGTCCAACGCGAGGAGGACATCCTCAAAACCGTGAAACACCGTCATTTGGTGGGATATGTTGACTCTTTCCGGGATAAAAACACTGTGTACATGATTATGGAGTACTGCGATGGTGGCACCTTGCATGCGTTTATCCGTAAACTTACCAACGGAATGCCGGAAGATATGTTCTTGTGTTTTGTAGAACAAATAGCACACGGAATAAAGGTATTATCCAAAGAATAGAAATTGGGGAAAAATAATATGATGTAATATATATATATTTTTTTCATTTGTTATTGTATTCATAGCAAGATAACTGCATTACTACTATGAGATAACGATACGTTCATTAACACATATTAATTCTTTTTAGGTATAGTGATAATTAAATGCTTTACAAATCAAGGGTTTAGACGCTGGAAGTTGCTATACTTATGCATGAAATGCAAACTGATCACAACTATCAAAGCATTCTATTAATAGTCTATTTAGCCTCAAATATTTATTCACTTTCTTAAAATATTTTTCTTCCTTCATTCGCAGTATCTTCATCAAAAGAAAATCATGCATCGAGATATTAAAACCAAAAACATTCTGCTGTCGAGTGGAAACATTCTCAAGATATGTGACTTTGGTATTGCAAAGTATGGCCATGTTTTCCTTTCCTTCTCTTTGTTTTGTTTTGCTTTTTTTTAAAATTTGATTATTTTTCTGATATTGTTATCTAATATCCATAATGTTTAAAATGCTAATGAGACAAATTTAACATGAAATTGCAGCAATGTATTCTGTTTCAGCTTTATCTGCTATGAAATATGATAGACTTGATATTCTATTGAATCTATAAGTCAGATGAATTATATAAAAATGGTAATAATCAATTAATTTGATACTGATAATCTGATGACTTGCCTTTGAAAACTAATTTGATGTTACCCTTATTGTCAACAAAATATAATTACATCACAAATATACTGAGTATAAATTATATTTATCTATACATCACAGATATTTCAGGAGTAAATTATATCTATCAATCACAGATATACTGTGTATAATTATATTTATACATCACAGATATACCGTGTATAATTATATTTATACATCACAGATATACTGTGTTTAATTATATTTATACATCACAGATATTTCAGGTGTAAATTATATCCATCAATCACAGATATACTGTGTTTAATTATATTTATACATCACAGATGTACTGTGTATAATTATATTTATACATTACAGATGTACTGTGTTTAATTATATTTATACATCACAGAAGTACTGTGTATAATTCTATTTATACATCACAGATGTACTGTGTATAATTATATTTATACATCACAGATGTACTGTGTATAATTATATTTATACATCACAGATGTACTGTGTTTAATTATATTTATACATCACAGATGTACTGTGTATAATTATATTTATACATCACAGATGTACTGTGTATAATTATATTTATACATCACAGATGTACTGTGTATAATTATATTTATACATCACAGATGTACTGTGTATAATTATATTTATACATCACAGATATACTATGTATAATTATATTTATCTATACATTACAGTTTAACTGTATATAAATCATATTTATCTATGAGTAATATTTCGTTGATTACTACATATTTCATATAAATAACATGTATAACAATTTGATAAGGATTTATCATGTATGAAATCTTTAAAATATTTTACTGATATTACTTCATGTGTTTGATAGATTCACGGAATACACTGGATCAGCTGTAAATTCGACTTGGATGGGTACCCCACGTTATATGAGTCCGGAAATAGTGCAGAGAAAACCATACGAGTTTAAGGTAAAAGTGATTTTCGAATCACATTTGATTTTTAATTATCGACATTGTAAATTTTCAAAAAAGGGCTTAATTGTTTGAAATGGGATTAAATTTTATAGATAAACTGTAGGTTCATATCAAATTGTAGAATACCTTTGGTAGGATACCTTTTGGTTACTATTTCGTAATACCATACTAATATAGCAGAACAATATCTACTTATATGATTTTATAACTTTCAGTTCTGCTTTAATTCATTCACAGATTGAAAAGATTCATTTTTACATAATTCATTTGATACGAAAGATAACGAAAGAGAAATCTATTTTTAACAGTTGGTATTTTAAATTATTTAATGCTGGGAATTCTGGGTAAATCATAATCAGCTCTGTTAATTCATCCGAATGAAGTTAATATTAGCGAGTTTTAGTTCTATAGTGCAACTGTGTTGAACTAATAAGCAAAAAAACCGAGGCGCTGCCCAATTACACATTGTGTGTGATTATCAAAATTTCTAATAATCTTTGTATAATGTTATTTGATAAAGATATGTTACCGAGTTTTTTGACATGGTGGTCTTATGTTTATTTTGATACAGACAGACATATGGAGTCTTGGATGCACAGCATACGAGATGGCAATGTCAGAATATGCGTTTTCAGCAGAAAACCTCAATAACATATTCCAGGACATCAGAGAAAATAAGGTATATACAGAGCATATGAAACGCATAGGTCTATTGAAACTGTCTTTGCCAAGTGTCATGAAAATTCAGACTTGACATTCGAGCGAGAAAGAGTGTTATATAATATTGACGCATAAAATGTAGGCAGATACCTGGATAACAGGGGCAAGTTATAATCCTTATCATGCGCGTACACGTTGATTGCATAGGAACGAGATAGTACTCGAAATAATCCATAATTTGTATTTAGCTTCAGTTTACTAGGTAAGCTGTTTTACTGTGCTAGACCATATGTTTTTACTTTCTGCAATTTGTGACAAGATAAATTTCTATCTATTGAAGTTAATACTATATTTTCACTTTGCTAATTTTACCTGTGTTGTTTGTAAAATAAAAAGGACAGTTTTAAAAAAAAATCGAATATGGGAAATTTAAATAATTATTAAGAGATTTTAAATATTACAGTAACCTTTCCAATTAATGACATACAGATCAACATTTTTCTACATTTATGTAGTAATCAAAACAAAAAAAAGAAAGAAAGATATTTAGAAGTGCAACAGAGTAATATTAAATTTAAAACATCGTGACAAAAAACGAAATGTCAACAATAAAACTATGATAAAGATTCAAAATTGGAGGGAACAAAGTTTAACACAGAGACAACATGAAAAAGAATATGGAGAAAAACAGTGGGTGTTTCCGTAATAAATGTCTGTTGCTTCATCAACGACACACGCCAACGAACACAAATTACTTCATGTCGCACAAGGGAAGAAGACGATGGATGATGAAACTAAGACGTAGGCTTTCGATGTCTGCATAGAACAACCCTTTTCCCCAACCTTCGATTAACAAAAGAAGGAAATCGAAATAACGTGCAATACCTTTTACTCGAATACAATAGTTTGATTGGTTATGACATCATCTTAACTGTTTTTGTTTTTTGTTTTTTGTTTTTATAATTTTGTTCATCTAAACTCGAGGCTAGGTTTTATTAGTCCAAAATGCGAAAATGATCTTTTAAAGGTTCCCATTCCTATTTTTTCTTTTGTGATCAGTAATTAGTGGGGGATGATTAATTGTTAAGATGTAACCCCAGGAACATTTAAAAGGATGCTCACGACAGAAATATTTCTAACTGTACTAACAAATAGTATAAGTAATATTGATTTTTGTGTTAGGTTCCTGATATGTCCGGACTTACGTACTGTGAGGGTATTAAGACACTGATAAAACAGATGTTGGAGATTTCACAAGTCAAGAGACCAAGTGCTAATGAAGTTCTGAATATTATTTCCGAACACGAGTGTTCAACATCGACAACTTCCAAGACAAAGGCAGAAAGAGTGAAAAGTGAGGGATCAACTCCTGATAGCTCATATGGTAGTAAGTACTTTTATTTGATTAAACTTCAGTTTAATAGATATTTTCCCATGAACTTAATTTTCTTAATGTTGGTATTAATTTCGGACAACTCTTTAGGTCCCTTCCACCTCTCCTCTACTGGTGAAAGACCGTAATAGCGAACTTCAAACCTATTTAATAAATAAATATTTCATAATCGGACTTAGTAGGTACAAACAACTGTATGATTAATTGATTTGCTGAAATTTATTTAAGATTTCTGTTCGAAGATGCATTTTTCTGTTTTGCAATACTGTATCTAACAATAAATTCTTATTGAAAGGCACTATTCAGTTGTGTGTCTTTTGTACAATCCTCTAGAGGATAACTATGTTCTTTGTCATTGATATCACCAAGTTTTCAAAATTACGATTTTGACGTCGGAATACATTTTCTGTCATTTGTCTGTGTGAATATAAATTGTTGTACGGATAACCATGTTTTATGCAAAATATTCAAGCAAGCGAAACGCTTGTCAAGTCTCTATAATCCGATATTACTAAAAATTATTAATTAAAATATTTTCGTTGTTCCCGACGTTATGAAATAGAACTCTCAAATTCTAGTCAATCGTTTCATCGAATAAAGCAATGAAAAACCTAATGCAAACAATAATGAAGTTTAAGTCTTTCGATTGATTGACTGAATTAACAAAGCGAACCAATGAAATGCTCGTTGCAATAAACATGTGTTGTTCTAATTCTAGTCTCAGACATTGGTACAACCGAAGATTCTGGATTAGGTGTCAGTTGTAAGTAATATCTATTTTTATAAAGCTAACCATCATCTCAATGTTTACTTTAAACATTCATTTCGTGTCATGTGTGTTAAAGTATACTGTACATCTTAGTAATTGCTTCAGTAAATATGTATCTTCTAGATTTAAAATGATTTAAAACTATTTCACGTTACACTATCTTCTTTGATACACGTAAATCAAATATATTGCTAAATGAAACACTAATTGTAATACATGTCATTCGTTTGATTTTACAGCAAAAGTTAAATGTTCATGTAATAAAGCGAAGAAATATTTAGAACGTGCCTCCACAGTATTCCAAACGTAAGTTCTTACAATTTAGCCTTGGCAAGATGTTGGAATATTCATCTACAGAAACTTTAACAATTTAAAGATTTGACATCTGAATTTAACTTTTACAGAAATCAGAGCTAAATATCAGGGACGAATTTTATGATCCTTTGACATGACATCGTAAGGGAACAGAATATGACATTAATAGATGATATAGAATGAATGGAAAATCTCACTCTGCACTTGTTGAAGTTGTCAAGAAATGAATGTATTAATTTACATATTAAGGAAGCTACTGGTAACTCTTCACTTCCAAAGTTCATTACGTAAAAAAGAAAAAAAAAAACCTTCAAATATTAAGCCTTACATTTATGCATTACTATTATTAAGTGTTGTTTCTATTTATAATTAATCCTAAGCCAAAATTTTTTTTTAATGTAGGTGAAAAGTTTAGCATGATGAATTTTTTAATTCACATAGCAAACTATATGATACAAATATCTAGATATAATTTTTTTCATCGTAAACAAAATTATATTTGACTAGGATTTGAAAGCTTTTAAATATTATTCTGTGTATTATCTTCCGCGATTTTATAGATCAATATTATTCAGAAAATATTTATTGTAACATTTATTTTCCAGTATGCTGGTTGAAATCATCCAGTCTCGACAAGGTGTAGACATCGTGAAGGATGTAAAGTCGGTGCGTTCTTTAGAGGACGCAGAGGTTAGTAGATTAACCAAGGGCGACAATTTGCCATAAACTTTAGCAACAACTGTATGTTTGATGCAAGCTGTTCATTTTGGACACGAGTACCGTCTGAGTTATGCAATATTTTCACTGCCTACATTTCAGTATTCTTCTTCTTTGAATATAAATCACTACGTAGTCACTTCTATATTTTTGAACATAATTAATTTTAGTGGGCTTCGTTTGAAAGACTTTGTAAAAGCCAATGCAGTTTGATTTTTTATTCGTCTTATGCTATATTAACCCCTTAATTTTTATTGAGAGACGCTATTCGCCTATTTGTCTAACTATCCGTTGAAGCGTATTTCTTACACTAGTAGGCTTTGAACTTTCATCGAACTGTGAACGTCGTGGAACGTCACAAAACATTGTATTGTCAGCTTTCATTCGCGTGCCATCAGCATTTCACAAAATCGTCGATATCAATTTTCGCTGCTTTTCAGAAAAGTCTGAAAAATATCCTCTTATACTTAATCTCAATTTGTAGACATGAATTCGTGGATTAGGAGTAAATGAAAATAAATCTTTCACGAAAATTAATGATTCTGCAGTAAACTAATATCTTTAATTGTACATGGGAACACACACGCATGCACGCATTACTTCTGTTGTTATCAATCGAAATTTTTTGCCATTTGTTACTGTTCTTGTTTTTCATTAACAGCAAATTTTGAAGAAGAAAGGAAACAGTCGCGTTAAGAAGAAACTTAATGACATTATGCAGATTGTTGAGTCACTTTACAACGTTGAGAAAGAAATTCAGCGACTTGACGATATGGATTCTACATTTTCTTCCATAGACTTTCAAACCTTCTCAACATGTTCGTCAACAGCCTCGCGGACTCGAACTAGGTACAGTACTGAGTGAGCAGTCTTCATTTATTTCGTCGAGAGCCATGTGAATGTTATTTCCATCTTGAGGAATGTGACGATACAAACTCCATGGCCAGATGTGATTTTAAGCGGTCTTACGTTTTATGTCATTGGCCAAATGTGATATTATACGGAAATGCGTCATTATTATGGTTGAATTATGATTTTATCAGAATTTCCAGAGTTTTGAATTTGTTGTTAATTGATTAGGAAAATAAGTCCTAAAATCTTGATGTCAATCACACCATTTTTGTTCTGAAATGAAAGTCAGGTCTTCTGGTTAATTAAGAACAGAGATGGTTTAATAGGTAAGTTTTTAAGATAGCTCTGATTAGGTCATGTACCTTTTCTAGCAGTGCAATTTCAATGCAAGTTATCAGGAAAAAAGAACGTTTTCTTCATGTTATACACACTGTTAGTGTCTTTTACATTAGAAGATGAATTTCAATGAATGCCTTTAATATAAGTGGATACCAGAGAACCCCTTATACTTTTTACATCTGTCTAGAATTCAACCACATTTTTACACTGTAATGTAGATAAGATATGATCTTGACATTTCATTATCTATTAGCTTTTAATCACGTTTTGTATCCAGTTAGTTTAACTGAAAATTTAAATTATATTGCAATTATGAAATGCCTTCGCAAAAGGCCATTTTCCTTCCACAGAACTGCCCTCTTCCATTTAGCCATCTATGTAAAATTCTGTCTATAGTTCTCATTTTATTAGGCTGCCTAATATAGTTCTAACCATGTCATGCTCTGTAAGTTACCGTCCATCTCTTAGTTACACTACGGGTCTTCTAACAATGATATCGGAGTTTCGTCAATTATTATATTCGAATATTTTTACGTGCTATATTCATTTCAAATGTCGATAAGTTTTTGTCTCTTCGATTCATAAATACGCCGAATTATGAGGTGATGATGTGTCAATTTTTAAAAATATACTATATTGTTTTGATGGTATGATATTTTGTTTCAATCAGGACTCGACAGTGTCATATTGAGTTAGTTTCCTCTGTTTTCATATTGTTTCAATCAGGACTCCACAGTGTTACATTGTGTTAGTTTTCTATATTATCATATTGTCTCAATCAGGACCCTACAGTGTTGCATAGTGTGAGTTTCCTGTATCATCCTGTTTACCATGACTCGACAGTGTTACATTTTATGAATTTCCGGTACAAACATTAATCATGACTCGACAATGTTACATTGTGTGAGTTTCCGGTAACATCATATTAATCATGACTCGACAGTGTTACATTGTGTGAGTTTCCGGTACCATCATATTAATCATGACTCGACAGTGTATTGTTTTCCTAGTTTTCGACATATGTTATTACAATAACAATCGTTATTCCACAGGTTATCATTTCCGCTGTTTTAACAGAAGCTTGTTTTTGCCTACGTTATATTCTGTGCTATATTATTGTTTTTTATGAATTATGTTTCATTTTTAAGATATCACTATTTTACAATTTGATTCCACCATTTAGGAATTACGATAATTACCTTTACAGTATAAAAATACATCTATATGGTTGTAAAAAAGACATCAATGAATAGCACCTTTTGATTATTTTATAATGGTTAGATACAGTTGAGCCAAACACTGAACTGAACTGGATCATACACATGTTTCGTCCTTCTTGAACTCTTGTTAAAAGCATGAATTTGAAGCTTAGGAGGCGATTTAGGAAAAACCAAAGTAATCAAAAGTCAAGTCAAAATCTAGATCAGGAGGTGCAGTAGCCACACAAAAAACAGGCGAATAAAACCATTTATTAGATATATATTGTCTTTTTTATTGTGATAGTTTACTATATATTTCATCTTCATTCAGGCCAGTCATTTAAATGCTTCATGTAACATAATATTGTATCCAATGGATTTGGTATGGATCCATGAAATATCACTCAGACAGTCACCTGTACTCAGCTTATATATCACGTTATTCTAGTAGTCTTACTATATTTAGTTTTTGTTTTTCATATTTTTGGTTATTGTTGTTTTATGTTTTGTTAATAGGTTGATGACACAAACACACACTCAATGAACACGTAGTTGTGACAATGAATGTGCTATTCATCACCATTCGCCTCGTTATAGTTCGCACCTGGATATTTGCTTGGTAACATGTCGGTGTTATGACAATCACCTCAAAATTTCCGTCCATTGTGAAAGTTTGTACCTTCAGTGACAAAAAGGGAACCTTTGTTGTAGATATGGCTTCCACAAGCTCTCCGTTTAAATGTTTTTCGAATTTCAAAAGAGAATGATATATGATGTGTTTATTTTATTTAAAATATCATTTTCGTGATTCTTTTGGGTTCGTGTAATATTTTGTTATCGTGGTTCTCTGACTTGTAAGACAAGAATTTCTGTGATCAATTTGAAACCCATGATATTTGAATGTTCATTTGATGTTATAATGTCCTTCCGTCCAAACGCATGCATTTGCAGCTACTGTCCAATCGCATGCATTTGCAGCTTCCGTCCAAACGCATGCATTTGCAGCTTCCGTCCAAACGACGGTATTTGCACTGTTGTGATAGAAATATATGCAATCCATACTTATATGTGTTTAGATAACAATGAACGTTGTGATTTCTGCATAAATACATTTTATGTTGCTTGCACAGGCAATTTATGTTGGCATTCATTTACTGTTTGTATCATCAGTGTCTATTTTAACTTACAAGTCAGTATGGTGTTTCCTCGATCTTTTGTCGGAGTACTAGTCTAGAATTATTCAATGTAAATGATGTCTTTGTCATGATCACTGAGATGATTTTCCTGTAACCATGCGATACCGTCAATAAAAGAATATGATATCTGTTTAATGCTTTTCTCTCCATTTCATGTTTTTGACGAGGTTCTACAAAAACATACTGAGATGCAATAAATATGTTTTAACAAAACAAGTGTATACAATGCAGATAAAGTGAAAGCACGCCATCAGAGATTCCATATTTATGAAGAAGTTATCATTAGCAAGACCACATCATCACTTTCTGTTTTTGGATTTGAAGATCTGTATGGATCTAGTTTTGTTCTCTTTTTGTGTCTACATCGATTGTTACCTTGGCTCTTGAGTGTACGTTAATGTTGGTACTTTAAGTCGAAAAAGTTTGCGATTCACAAAATATTAACTTCGAGTATTTTAGTCAAATAATTTTCACCCATCCCTTATGCATAAATAATAATATTTCGTTATCGATGTATTGTAATAATTGAAACAAAAGAAACATATGATATGATTTATATGAAGTACATTAAGAGATTTGATCTAGTGTCATTGCCACTGATTTTCTTGTTAAAAAACATGTAACACATGTAAAACAACAAACATTTTATTGTTAATAAATACAAAAAACAAACAAAAAGTAAAACGGTAAACACCGGTTTTAACTTATTTTCATAAATGTCACAGGATTGCAACTAAAATATCTGAAAATAATTATCACAAATGCTACGACAATGATTTTGAAATATCCGGGAATAGTTATCACATACTTTACGGTAATGATTCTGAAATATCCAGGAATTATTATCACAGATATTACGGTAATTATCCTAAAATATCCTGAAATAATTATCACATATTTTACGGTAATGATTCTTAAATATCTGAGAATTATTATCTGTACTGTAAATATCATAAATATAACACTATTGCTCTAACCAACTGAATAAAAAAGAATGAACTTATCTGAACGTAGTGTTCATATCAATGATTGTTATTGTTGTGATAGAGGTATGACAGTTTCTTTTTTTTTCTTTCTTGACTTTGTAAAATTTATCCTGATAACAGGAATATTTTGGTAAAATGCCCACGGATAAAAGATTCTGGAAAGATATGTATTCCATCAAATTTATGTGTGGAAAAATAAAAATAATAAGTAATAACATCACTTTAGCAATTAACGTATATCACATAAAAATAACAATTTAAAGAATAATTCTGAAAATTATGCAAAATCAAAAGTTAAATAACGAAATAGTTTGTCACATTTTCCACCAAAGTTAACGACAAGAGTAACAACAAATCTATAACCCATTCTGTATAAACCAATTATATGACGTCATTTCCTTAGAAACAGAACATGGGCGCACCAACAGAATTATTAGGATTAAGCGGATCATGTAAATATTAGATCTTAAGACAATGGAAGGTGAGTATGCATAATGTAAACAATGCAACTTTACATACAAATGCCTTCATCAGTTTACCCTTGTTCCTGGTCCAGCCACCTAAATAACAGTAACACAATAAAAAAGTTAGGCATATAAATGTTATGTCATGCTTTTTTACATAATGATTGAGACAAAGAGACGCTTTCGGGCAACCGAGTGAGCAAACGTTGTCAAGTTTGTTGCTGAGGCCAATCAGAAATGTGTTGCTTATTCCAACATGAAGGAACTCAGTCAGTGTCATCGTTTGATCCAGAGTTTTCCATTGCTTCTTCAAGTGCCGACAGAGCATGTGTTGTTCCCATTAAAGCCTTTCCCAGCCTCCGGAATATCTCCAGTCTGTCACTTTTAATGGTGTCTTCATATTTTGACTGCAAATGCATCAATAATGAAATGGTGTCAGATTGGTTTAATGTGTTCTGACAAGTAAAAACACATATGTCATCAATATACATATAAGAAAAAAAATGTGGAATGAAAAAAAAAAAAAAAAAAAACAGTTTGGAATGGAAGGAAAACTTTATCAAATGGAAAGCCACCGCGCAATTATCACAGATTAAAGACAAACAATTATCAATTATAATTCACAATTAAAATGAGCACAAACTGATATTCATTGTTTAACAAACTTTTAGAGCAAAGAGTATCACAATTACGAGATACTAGCAGAAATTCAACATTGTCGAATAAGTGACCCCGAACATGTTCACGTCATAGTTGTGAAAAATGGAAATCACTAAATCCTGTAATGCCTAGCAGCCACCTTATCATAGGAACATGAGTTAAGATAACAAGTGATATCATTTCGTGAATTGATGTACGCCTTTATATCAAGAGACTGCTATCAAACGTTTTCGAATAGCTCTCCCTTTAAACTCTACCCAATACATGTCTCCAAACAGTTATTATAAGGAAAGATAAATTAGTGTTATACAATTCAAAACGTTTGTCTAGTATCTTATGTATATACCTACTTATCTCGTTTATAGACATGACGATAGTTTAATGACCAGCAAAGTGGAAGTTTTGAGCGAAATACATGTTGTCCTTACATACATCTGCACAGATATTTCAGAACAAGAAATAACTCGCAAGAGGATATCAACTATGAATTGTAGTCTATACATACCAGCATGTTATGATTAGCCTTTCCGTCGCGGAATGATTTCTTCATACTGCTGACTATATCAACAGCTTTATTGCTGTTGAGTTCCATGACCAGTAGTCTAGAAATACAGTAAAATACTGAGGTAACATCGACATCATTACTTCATCACTTCTTTACTTCATTATGTACAACAGCATTGTCACTGGCCTATTTCATGGTTTACAGTTATTTTGTCATTGACCTACGTCATGACTAACATTGCGTTATGATTAACAGCAGTATTATCACTGACTAACTACATAGTTCACAGTAGTATAATCACAGACCTACGTCATAATTTACAATAATATTGCCGCTGACCCACGTCATGAATTACATTAGTATTGATACTGGCCTACTGTACATTAAAATTTGAATGTAATTGTATTCAATCCGTATATCTGAATCCACTGTGGTTTTGAAACTTTTCTCATAACTTCTTCACAAAACAAGACTTGTACAGGTCTATCAAGAATTTGCCAAAATATGCATGTACACCCTCCCAATTCTATTCAATGATCTAAAAGAATACCTGAAAAAATCTATTTTGTTTTGAGTTATGTCAGTGACATTAACTTGATGACTTACTTTTGGATTTCTGTCGATGCAAGTTCAAGACTTTTTCTAGGTTTTTCAAATGTTTTTAGAGCTGATGCTGATGCTGCTGCAACTCCTGCAAAAGGCATTAATAATGAATACTGAAATAAAGAATAAGTATGTAAATACTAGCCGAAATACATCGCTCGGCTAGAGAGAGCTAATATCACAGCAGTATATATATAATAGTACATACTGGAATAAAATATGGAAAAGATACAGCGAAAACATGATTTTTTATGGTTTTTTTTGGGAGTACTGTTGACACACATATTTATATATACTTATAAATTTGATATAGATATCTAATCTAAGGTGATGTCGTGAGTACTGTTAACCAACGAAAATAAAAGATTTTCAGCAATACCTTCATTCAAGATTATGAATATGAAAATAAGGGCTCAACTTTGTTCAAAATAATATTACAGAAAAACATGTAAGATATGAGAAGTTGTTTTCCACTTTGTCGTGGATTTTCCTTCTTTTTATTATCAATGCTAGAATGCTGTAAAAACGAGCATGATTAATCTTTGTGTTTATAGCAAAAGGCGCTTGTAGATATTTCAACTAAATACAATCAAGTGGATCAAACTATCACATTTATGACAGAAAAAACAGTGACACCCTTAATTAAACAATAAACGCTTTGGTAGAAATACAACCTTGACCTTACAATTCATAAATATTTTGTTTAAGCTGATGAATACTGTATGATTACTTTTAAAGATAAGTACCTAGAGTAGTGTCTGTTTATTTTATTGTCGTGCGTTTTAACTTCGATTTCGTATATGTAGTGTGCTTTTTGGAATTAATCCATACCTCTTCCTGCAGCCTCTACTAAATAATATTGCGTGGTATCATCCCCCTCGGCAGTGCTGCACTCATGGTCTGACAATGATTTCAATAAATGTTTTGCAGAGGGTCTTTTCGCGGGATTTTTGTTCAACATGGATTTCATCAGATAAATCATGTCACTGCAATAGTTTATGCCGTCAAAGTTGGGCAGCTGAAAATTATGTCCCATGAAAAAGTAAAGATATGTTTGAAAATATAGCACGACTATACTTATGAGAACTTTGCTGAACAAAAAATACGAAAATTCAACAGCATTTTTAATCAAAATTCAATTCGATGAAACAGAGAACTGATAAAATAAGTAAAAGGTGTTCTAAAAGAATAAGCGTTTTGTGCCTCATAGACAACACGTGTCATGTAACGCTTGGTGAATCCAAGAAGGTAATGTCATGTTCCCAAATGAGAACAAGGTAAACAACAATGAATCATCAGACAAGTTAAAGGTTATCAAATGTTACTTAATATGTTTGTGATGATACAAATTCAGACATACATAGTTTGCCAGTTGCTGATTATATTTTCTAGCTACGACCTTGAGTGTAAACGTAGATGTGATATTTCAACAGCAATAATCTTATTTGTTGCCATAAATGATATGGCATCATAGTTGACTAAATTGAAATATTTACCCTTGATTGAATTGTCTTACTCGTGAGACTTACTTTGTATTTCATTATATCGCTAACTGCTTCTTTCTGTCTGTCGGCGGAAAATGCAAAGTGCATTTCAGCCATTTCATAGGCAGTGCATCCCAGACTCCAGATATCTGTCTGAATGAGATATCAATACACGCATTCTTGAGAGGTGCATTGGTCACTTCCAAATAAAGACATTATAGTCTCCTTATATGATATTACAATAAACTGTTTCTGAACTGAATAGCAAAAGAATAAAGACTGATAAAGTTATCGTCAAAAGTTTTGCAACCCATGTTAAGGAAGCATCAATATTGTTTCGTCACTAATCAAGGATCGGACGATATATTAATTAACCTAAATGAGATATTGACTGAATTAATTATATTACTTAAAGACAAAGCAAAATAGATAATCACATCACGATAAGTAAACTTCATTGTTAATACCTTCTGTCCGTACTCTTCCCCATTCAGTACCTCCGGACTCATATACCGTGGTGTCCCCATCTTTATGGAGTGGTTAGACGGATTGACGTAGTCAGTTATCCTGCAAGTTGCATGCTTAACAAGTCAATATATTTGAAAATTGACTCCAATTAGGAAAAAATATTTCGCCTATTTCACATATCTGATATTTTATTTTTTGGAGACTCTGACCATTGTCTATTTTCTGTTATCTGATAATTGCTCATGTTGTCTTTGTAATATTATTTATCATTTTTTTATATCTTACTAATTATACATAATATTTCACATTATTTTCCCTCGTTATAATGTGTCATAAATAACCCGGACACCATGCGAACTTGCCTTGACACTCCAAAGTCGCTAATTTTCAGTATGAGGTCCTTTGTCATCAAAATATTCTTTGTTTTGATGTCTCGATGCAGAACTCCTTTCCGGTGGAGGAACTGAAATGATGTAATTATAAAAGGTAATTTGGTTGAAAATTTTGCTTACTGAAAAATCGTATACAGTCCAACCTTGTTATTTCAAACTCGTTTAAGTCGAAGCATTTCATCGGTCCTTGTCTAACTTGATACAAAACATTCGAACTCACTTAAATTGAATACTCGTTTTCCCATGGTCCTGCAGAGATAACGAGGTTTGAAAGTATCTCCAAATCAAATTTCGTTGGTAGTGCATATTCTTTTGCGCTTGATTTCGTGAGTAAATTGTAGTTAAGAAATCCACCAGGACTTGTGGTGTTATTTGTTATCTGTAAATCATTTCGTGGACAATGATTAAGAGCACCGACGAATAGAAGCGAACTAAGACAGACCATGAAAATCAGACAAATTCTTATCTCTAACATCATACCTTCAAACCGGTGACTATTTGCCTGAGAAATTTAACAAACTCATCCTCCGACAATTTTGTTTCCAGACTTCTGATGTACGAGTATAGAGTTCCTCCTAAGCATAACTCCATGATAAGATACACACAGTTTCCCTCTCGGAAGGAATCCACATATCGGACAACATTGTCATGTTTAACTGATTTTAGAATCTCTTCCTCTCTGCTGACCAGTTCCCGCTCTCTGCTATCCTGATTTTCAGCGAATGCCACTTTTTTCATTGCAAAACACTGGACCTAGAAAGGAGTGTGCTTACATAGACAGAGGAAAATCAATTGATGCAACGCACTATTACTACTAACGGTTATCAATAAATCCGACAACATTTCTGAATCGATATTTTGTACGATATCTACAGTTACAATCAAGTCAATGGTATAACCTCTGTCTACATCGAGGTTTTATCTTGAAAATACTACTCAGTATATCTGATGTTGCTATTACAATTTTAACAATGCATCGACAAATTATATATTGAAAGTTAACGTGAGATGTCAGTAAGATACATATCGAGCGAGATATTTTCAATGTAAGGGAAGTATGAAAAGTATTTTTATTCTGGAACTACTTAATACTAATTGAGTAGGTTTGGCTCTACATTTTCGAACTCTAGATTTGTATTTTAAAGGTGCTAATCACGTCTGTATCTTGTGTGCAATCTTCAAAATTGCAGGTGGTAGACATTGTTGGTGGACATTCGTATAGTGGGAGTGGGAGCAACGTTGTTGTGTTACTATGTAATATAATCCAAAAGCGCCATTAACTGTTGTAACAGTGACGTATATAGTTTATAATCAGACCTGTATTTGATACAACAGTGAGGGCTGACATTTTACTAATCGAATATGTAGTTGATAAAATGTAATATAATCCCTTGAAGGTGATAAGGAATGCATGTGCTAAATATGGAAGCCTTTTCTCAAAGGGTTAAAGATACTTATTGATATTGAGACTATGGGAAAATGTTTCTAAGTTATACTTCAAAGTCAGCCCGTTTCTTATTATTTACAAGTCTCCATAAGTATGGTATAAGCTAACAGGTTTTTACCAATATCAAACCCATCTAAGATTTTACTGATAGAAACAAATATATCTTATCAAATTCGGTTTTAAAGAATCAAAAGTTATTTAAAAGAAATGAGGAGCCTTTAAATGCTGTAATTCTAGAAAATGCTGACGAATTTTTTACCAATATTTGAATTCTATTTGACAGAAACTAAGAAATGATATATTTTAACGTTTTTGAAGTCACGTAAATCTGTCGTCAAATGCTGACGGATTTTCACTATTATGAAACCAATTCCAGATCTCGTTGACATAAAGTGATATACCAAACACAGATTTGAGAGTAAAAAATTAAGATATATGATAGAAACGAAGAACTCATCTATTTTGAGAATTCTATGGTCCTTAACTCCAGTAAAAGTTGAGGAATTTTGACCAAAATCGAACTCATCCGAGAATTTATACATATTAATTAATATACCATCTTTCGTTAATATCTGACCATAAAAATCAAAGATATTTCACAGGAATAGAGATCTATTTCAAGAAGTTTAAAGTCCTGTAACTCTGGCAAATATGTATTCAACCCAATACACAAAATTTGATTAAAATCTGATGTAAAAATCTAAAGTTAATCGACGGAAAGAGTAAAACGGAGATCTCGGGGGCATAAAATCATCTACAATCTAAACTCGAATTAGTATATTACACATTACAATAGACTGTGCGAATTGAAAATAAAGAAGAATAGCTATATTTAAATCTTTTGCTTGGTTGGTACGGGAATCTCTATCGAGAACAATCAATCTACCCTATATACATATATCATTGCTTAGATAAAAAATCTTATGGATCACTGTGTAATGGTTTATGGCACTTTATCTATTTTGATGTAATCGTTGATTGTTGTCATTGTAACGCTTGCAATCACAAATTCAATTCACGTTTTATTTAAAGAATATTTGTTTATTTTTATATGTATAATGCATCTATTGGAGCGTAACCTGATTTCATTAAAAGAATTTGCATTGTATATGCAATACAAAAAAAATTAGCAGTGCTTATTTCTATCGCCTGTAAAGGTATTGTGACCGAAATAGCATCTAACGTCATCTATGTTTTTGTTCAGTGCAAAAACAAGTCTAGGAAGAGATTTTGCGATACTGCTTTACATTGACTACAAAGGAGGATCAGTGCCTATCTTAAACCTCTCAATAGCGCCCTATATATTTACACAAGATATAAGGCTTTAACACTAAGTTGTTACGTACAATGTATGCAATGCTTAGTAACCGAGTTTGGAGGGTGCTAAGGGATTAATATGTACAATTCAGTTAAAACGACACAACCAATTTTTCATCATCAAACAAACGTTTTAGATACATTTATGAAGCACAAAATGCGTTGTTCTCAAATGCAACCTCATGATCAGTGAGTAAACACACTTTATAGAGCTAGACATCCACACAGTCTCGGCGAAATGTATTTAGAAAAACATAATATTATAATCAATATGGAATCAATTGTTTGACAGAGTTCTCAAAAATACATTTAAACCAAACAAATTGCTTTGATGTTTTGTTTTCACTATCTTACAACCTTTGTTTAATTCACATAACTATGAAGATGTGTTATGTATAAGGTATATCCTTAACAACAGTGTTAACTATACCATCTCCGACCAGGAAGTTATGATCACAACCCATGTCGATACTAGAATTAGGACTATAATCGTTACCTGTCCTCCTGGATTTACATCGGATTCTTTCGTCACTTTGTGTACCACTCCAAAAGTTCCCTGACCGATCTGTTCATGTTTCAGGTACTGTCCACATCTCTGTGGCATTGATGCCGCCATGTTTAGGTACTGGTAAGGTAAGAATGACACTCTTGACACTTGGAAACGTGCCAAATCGTGCCTGCCGATTTGTATTTTCCTAAATATAAATATAGCATTTGGCGACGGTAAAATTCCACGTGACCGAGATCGGGAAAGCACAGTGCATTAATTGTTATTGATCATGTTACTTTTTTTTACATTCATTGTCACGTATTTAAATGAAATCATTATAGAATTTCCATAATCATCTCGCCGGGATAGACATAGAAATAATTGCATACACCTTCATTTCTTAACAAGTCAGACCCGAAAGCCGTCAATAGGTACATGCTGACATTGCCTTTGCCATTCAGATCTACTAGGTACTTTACTTTCTACTAGGTACTTTACTTGTCACAGCTACAATTCACCTACTCTTTCATTAGTAACAGGTCACTTAGGCTGTCATGAGGTACATGTTCATAAATTAATTTATCATAGTCACGTGACACCGATGTTAGTAAACAGTGACACGTGTGTCGGGTGTATAAACATATCAGAACATAGTAGTCGTTCGCCAAGAGTTACGTCCCCTTCACATCTCCGTCGTAATAGGCTTCCCATTAGAAAGATACGACATTTGGCATGTTTTTATTAAAGTTAAGGTACAAATAGTTGTTGCTACATCTATTACATTTCGTGACAACGACACAAGGATGTTTTATGCATGCTCCAGTAGTTATAATGAAAAGCAATCAAAGGAAACATCCGTAAAATTACTCGAGTTCATCTTGCAGCTTGCTGCTATTACAACGTGAAACACCATGGCGGACGAACGGGTTTCCCCAAGTTCAATATAGGTTGCTATAAATATTTATCCAATAAGCTATTTCGCTCGATATGACGCATTAGGGATTTAATCCCATCTGTCAAATGAAATTGGTCAACAGAAAATCTATTTTAAGCCCGTAATTACCGGCATGACGATGCAGTGTTGATGCAAATAGACGCCTTCAGAAATAGTTCCGGGCCAAGGAAAAACGGACCAATGACAACAAAATTGAAACAGTAACTTTATTAACAACAATAAATTGACATTCCTTGTCAAATAAAGCATATATCAAAACTAGATATACATATATCCATTATCAAAAGCCATCACTCCACAACTATTTTTTTATTTAAAACGAAGTCAGAAACAGTTGCATATTTATATGTAGCCACAATGGCTTGTCTAGATAATTAAGATAATAAAAATAATTTCGAAAAGTCCCTGTGATTTTGCTATTTCTGGTTATTAATTTTGTAAATATGCTTTTTTTCTCACATGATGTACAAAATATTGCCCCATTAGGATATTCTGACAAGGTGAAGTTAACGACGCCATCAAAACACCATGGCTGCAATAGTAATAATGGTATTGACTTATCTGCAAATTAATTGGCAACCATACAACTTAATGCTAGAATCACTGTAATTCCTCCACCAGTATGAGTGATTTACATTATTCTGATAGTGTAACAAACAAGCTCTGTCCCGTCAGTTTATCCTAATAGGGATCTATGAAGGTATAATGGAATGCTGACAATATTCATATATTGAACAATCATTTTAATTTGTCACACGAAAAAAAAAAAAAAAACAAGAGCCTGTTTCAGGTCACGAAATACGCCTGTGATTTTGTCTGACTATCACCTACACTATTTATGCTGTATATAATATATTGCATTTGTTTCAATGGTAATTGCGTAATACTTTGCAAAGTTATTGCACCGACATTGAAAAGGTTACAGACATTAATGGGCCGTAACTCTAAAAGTTGTGGATCAAAAATCATGGAAATCAAACTCAATCTAGCTTTGATTGTACTTAAGCTTGCAATGAAAGTTAAAAGAAATCTGTTAAGGCTTAATAAATTCCAAAATCGCTGGGACATTGAAATGTTTACGAACAGAGGGACGGAAGATGGACGGATGGAAGACGAGAATACCATAATATGTCCTGTCATTTGACGGATGTATAAAATACATAAATATCAAACAAAAAAAAGAAGTAAATAAATGTAAGGATCATAAATCTAAAATAATAAGCAAAATCACTTGAGGTACGCATATTGTGCATAAAAATACATTGAAAAATTAATTTAAGATTAGAAACAAGAGGCCCATGGGCCTTATCGGTCACCTTAGAATCAATCACTTCACAAGCAATGGTAAGAACTGACAGTATTTCTGATATTGATTTACATTTATTATTAACAGCTAATAGTTGTCTGCTGTTTAAAGAATAATAAAAAAAATCATCACATGTTTTGTTTTTTATTTGTCTATTTCATTATATCTAGGAACATTTATCTTATAGTGATATAGTGACAGCTGTCAGTTGCTCACTTATTATGAGTCCATACTAGTTTATGGAGAAATTACTGAAATTAGCATGTCTATGTGTGCTTGATGATGAAGATAATGATGTTGACTGTGTCTAAGAATCTGCAGCATCCTTATGCATGCAAGTTAAAGTGTGTGAAGAAGCTGATAATGAGGATGTGTGATGCTGTTGTGTGATGCTGCTGATGTTGGTATATATGATGATGTTGAGGTGTGACGATGCTGATTTGGTATGTGATAATGCGGATGTGTAATGCTGCTGAAGTGTGATGATGCTAATGTTGATAGGTGACCATAATGATGCTGATGGTATGTGATGATGCTAATGTGTGACGAGGATGATGATTGTATATGATGACGTTGATGTCAGATGCTGATGTTGTTTGTATATGTAACAATGCTGGAGTGCTAGTATGGCTGCAAGTTATAAATATATGTTTAGAGTGATTGTGTTACATAGTGTCTATGATAGTTAAGATATAGTGTGCAACTCAAAATGCTGTGTGTTTAGTGGTGAAAATGATGCATGACTATACTCTGTGTGTGACGATGGGAGTTATAGACTGATAGTATATATGAATCTATTTATTCCTCATGTGTTTTTCGATAAATAAAAAATAAACAAATATATATAAATAAATAAAAATAAAATTGATATTATCCCTGTTAATAATTAACATTTAAAATTACTTTTGCTAAATGATTCTCTTGGCATGTTTAAATGGGTTAAAATTTCCCTTGCACCGGTTGCAGTGCGCTTCCATAAAATTCTACAACGATACTACGCGATCTCTAAAAACTACAGCTCAAGCACCATTTCATCAATTAAATAATATTAATATAATACAAAAAGAACTATTACTTACGCATAAGAACTCACCACAGTTCCCCTGTAAGCAATTTCTTTCCGTGAGGTGCGCGTAATACCCGCCATGCTTACATAAAAATAAAATCAAGTAGGAAAGCTCCGTGCGGGGAGGTAACTCTGCACGAACGTCAAAAATATTCTGATATGGGGTATTACAATGAATTTGCATAGAGTTTGATGGTTATGAGACTGCACGTGATTCACGTATAATTTGCGTGTCAAGAGTTGTAATGGTAAAGTGAAATGATACCATATCATTCGAGTCTTGACGGTCCACCAGATAACAGTAAATTTCTCATTTTTATATTTATATTTACATTGTAATTGCAGGTGTCACTTAACTCAGATGTACATGTACCAGTACGAACAGTGGACGGCGTTTGTCGATTTTATTGTAAAAAAAAAAAAAAAACATTAAAGGAGAAAAGGTGGACCGTTGAACGCCACGTCCATATATTGGTGTTGAGTCTATATGATAAATGTTTTATGTTCGTTTGAACGAAGTGAATTAGAATATAATGTCCTTTCCTTTCATCTCTCTGAGATACCTTTACAAACCGCTGGTCAAATGGACTGTTACTTGTATCAATAAATAAAGTCACATGTCTCGTGCACTGTACCTATTTTCATATGTGTCGTTGGCTGTAAGCCATTCATCTACAGGTCACATTGACTGACTATCGTTAGTATCAAAAGTCAAACGGGCTGTTCAGTCATAAATCACGTTGTCCGTTAGCAGTCTCTCGAAACATCAAACTTTACCACCCTACACCAGTTACATATCAGAAAGGAATTCTGTTTAAAAACACGACCATAGTTATTTTAAAGGAGACACTTCATACAATCATCAATTTTATTGATAATGGCATCTTCGAGAATGACAACAATTCACATCGTGTTCAGAATGGTTAGTAAAACACATTGATCGAAGTCAATTTTATACTGATTTTACAGATAGCAAAATGAATAGCACCTGTCTATTTTTCCTATTAAGTGGTAAATAAAGTGTGTACTAAAACGAATTTGAAAATACATTATGTACCAGAAAGCAACAAGAAAATACCAACATATCAACACAACTATAATCCAAACTCAGATTCAATAAAACAACGCAAAATATGAACAAAAGAAAACATTACATATAGATTCCTGACAAAAACTACAACGAGACTACGATCAGGCGTTCCGGAAGAGTAAGTGTCTTCTGCTTCATCGGTGACAGTTGGTTACCATAAAAGAACACTGTGCCAAGACATCAACAAAACAAAATCAACATTCTGTATGCATTAGATACGACTCTTTATATCGAATATCATATTACACAAAATCACAGAAATTGTAATAATTCCTATTCAGACACGATAATAATGACTCTGCATAAAACACTGCATTGATAATCGCGTCAAATTGATTTATAATAAAACTATCCAGCTGTAAAATAATGTACATAACTTCGTACGGAAACTGATTCATTTTTTTTAATGTAAATTTATTTGATAAATCAGTAGATCTACTCGAATTACGATGTAATATTTCTGTATCAACAAATTAAGTAGACACTCTAGCAATCGAAATGACACAATCAGTCAGATATATTAAAAAAATATTCTTGAAAAAAAAAAAAAAAAGACAGAGACTATCTGACTTTACAGGTCCGCCCATAAATGTACAATTGATCATCATTTTAAGTTGAAAAAGAGCACGTAAACTGTAAGTATAAGGATCGAGACATTCCATACAGTGTAATAACTGACGTCGCTAGCCGTTCCAGGTACCACCAGACGTAGCGCTATCTGCATAGTGCATGGAAATGGGATAAATGTTTTTATAAGTGATATTATCCAATGAAAATGCCATGGCGTTGTAAAAGGACACATTAATGGAAAAATGACTATGAACTAGTAATATATAAAATGCCCTCGGAAATTGTGCATGTAAGTGAGTAGCACCTTTTAAAACGATTTAGAATTAGATACAATAAAATCAAATAAGTAAGTAAACTGCATCTTACAGCTGTTTCGTCATTCTAGAACTCGTCAGTAAAGCTACATCTTACAGCTGTTTCGTCATTCTAGGACTCGTCAGTAACGCTACATCTTACAACTGTTTCGTCCTTCTAGGACTCGTCAGTAACGCTATATCATACAACTGTTTCGTCAATCTAGGACTCGTTAAGGACCTAATTTTCTAAATATAGCTGGCGACTGAGATAAATCTAAATAGATCGAAAATATCAAACTCTAGAGGTGTACTAGTCCTATCATTATATCAATTAATTACTTTGATATGTCTGATCATTTCAGAAGATCGCATAACACATGTATATATTCTGAACCGTGCCACTATTCAAATGAACTAAAACGTGGGGTACAGATTACTTCAATCCTGGGATATAAAAGACCACTAGCAGTGTCTAACACCTCGAAAGTAGTGCAAGAATAGATATAATTCTTGTAGGCTGTTCAGTGAACAAAACAAACAGCTATGCAAAATATTTTAATTCTTAAAAAACACCTTGTCCCAAGAAAAATGACAAATAAAGCGGATTAATTTCTTTTAACAATATAAAAAAGTAAAAATGCGTACGTAAATGTATCTCCTTGAAAAAAAGTCAATAAAAAACATAAGGATTCACGTGCATAATGTAAAAAATCTCTTTATGGATTTCATTCCTTAATTAAAAAGATATCAAATTGGATTTCGAATTAACAATAGAGATGTAAGGTAGATGTATTGCACCAGGCCTTGCACCGTAATCACATACAATCACTACCACGAGACCCGTTTATAACATGGAACCAAACGGAGAAAAAGTATATGACAAGTAAATCGAACTTTAGGTGTCCTGATGGGTGATATCATAACGAGTACGTGTATATATGCCAAAAAGCACAATTAAACAAAAGTAAACAGAAAAATAAATGAACAAAAGACACACACGGGTGAAAAGCACCTTTAAATATTAGTGAAGTGGTACGCATATCTCATGTGGAATGATATGTAAAACTGCAAAATACAGAAATTTAAGGTTTTTAACCATACCATGTAAGTGTTATGTTGGAATACCTGTTTATTCTTTTCTGATATTTCTGTGTAAAGTTCGCCATACCACAATAGTGTATATTCTTACTCCTATCATATATTCATTGTTAGTATATACTCACAGCGGTTACTTCTTTCACTCTTTATAAAACCGGTATACACATCAGGGTAGTTTGTAGATTATCTGGGAAAACATTCTTAACATCAGTTTTCTTAGAATGATTAAATGCCCAATGGAAAAGTGAGTACTGATATTGTGTTCAAATCATTACAAGGATTTCTATTATAACAATGAACGACCCTAGTTGACAGCAGATATCACCATATGCTAATACGACAGAACGCTATGCTCTTTCCCTGAGTTCCAGATTCATCCTACAAGCTTGTATGTTCTGGCTCTAATACGAAATACTCGTGAGTTGTTTTCGGTTCTTCGTACTCTGCAGGTGCCGGAGGATTCGTATTTCCGGTCTGGCCACGATACACGGGGTTGTCCAGAGAGGAGTATTTGCCGCTAGGGAAGTGACTCAGCCGTTTTTCGCCGGAAGGAGCATAAGCGGTACTGTATCCGACGGATGCCGATACCGGAGTGGGTCCTGGATTGGATACATCTGGACCTGAAGATCTGTTATTTCGAACTGATGGGATTGGTTTTCCCGACTGTCTTTGAGCCGCTATTATGTCACTATCGCTGATATAACAGTATTCTGCCTCTTCGTTCCTAGATGAGTCAACATTGCTGGCGCCGCCCAATTCGTCATAGATGTTGCCCTTAGGTTCTTTATCTCGAGAATCAGACAAACCATTGTACGCTTCTCCTTTGCCTCCTGTGGCTACTTGCTGTATGTGTGAATGAATAAGAGTTAATTATCTATATTTATGTCGATTCTATCAGACTACACAAGTATCGCCATTGGAATGGCAATAAAAATTACATTATGTACTCAATTGATATATCAATTGGGAAATTTACGTTGATGATATTAGATGTTGCATGCAAATGTTGAGAGTACAATACTTTTTACGTATGGCTTTTGAAAAGAAGTATGAGTATTCATTTTAAATTTTCCCTTTTGACTGCAATAATCAAATTAATGACCAAATCAAAATATCTTCACACACAACAAAATAACAAACCTGTTGCACATTATCGAAACCACGGTTTCTATAGGCCATATTGACGTTTGATTTAGTTTCTGGTTGTTTTCTTTTCCTGAAACAAACAGTTTTATGTTTTAAAATATCCTTTTCATTTCGTGAGTTAATTAGTCAATCATTAACATTTCTAGGATTTTAAACGTGCTTCTCTTGGTGTTTTGACAGATAATATGAATTTTAGGCTGGATATTGGAAAATAGCATTGTCAAATATTTACCATACACTGAAACGCTCACATGTTCTATATGCAATCAGCAAATTATAAAGATTGAATTATGATACGAATCCAACACAGAGGTAATGGTGTGGAAAGGCTTAAAACGATAAGCAAAATAAACTGAATTACTGACAAGACACTGAATGTATGACTTTGAATGTTGTGCTAAGATTTTTGATAGTGACTGATATTATGATTGCGTCTTGAGTCAAGAAAATGATTGAAATTCACTATTTGGTTGGAAATTCGAACAAGTAAGACTAAAAGTGTGTGTGAGAAGTGTGAATGATGTGTGTAAGTATGATAACCCTCCTGTGTGATATAACATTACAAATGTTATTGATCACGAAAAGACATATATAACATTACAAATGTGTCCTACGTCTTGTCGTGATACAATGTTTGGATCAGTAACAAAAGTAAAAATTATGACTAGGAGATTCAACACATCAAACACCCACAAGCAATTTTCACAAATGGTGGCAATTAATAAAATCAATTAACATATCTTAAATATTATAATCAAGTAACAACAGAAACCTGTCCGGAATTCCTTGTCGTGCTCCACTAACATTATCATTAAGGGTCCCGCCAGTATAAATCCAATTTTACTCATAATGGTATTATGACAGTGTCATTTATTATAGGATAAAATTACCGTTTCGTTGATACGGTGTTGCATACTAGTGTTTGACATGATAGGAATTTATACAATATTGTCATACCTTGCTCTAGACCAGATACAAGAAAGAACAACGATTGCAGATATGACAGCTACAACACCTCCAATAGAGCCACCTATTGTGGCTGCGTTGGAAGACTTTGCTCCTGAATTAGGCGTACTGGGGGCTTGGGTTGGAGCTTGGGTTGAAGGCGTAGGTGAAGTCAAGGTGTTTCCTTCGTCTGTTAAGTCAGAAAATTTATCAATTAAAATTTCTGCAAAATTGAATTACTGATTTCAATTTAAAATATGTTAACAGTTATTTTAAAAAATGTGGAATATTTTGAAATTTTTCATAAATATCACAGACAATGAAGAGGCAATAAAAGACAAACAATTATATCAGATATATTGCATGATGTAAAAGTGTTTACCGGGGACGTATAGGAAAGTCCCATCCCATATGTAGTCGTGTGTATTGTAGGCCTCGCAGATCAGAGTGAAGGATGAAGTGGCCCTGAAGAAGAGGAGACTTGTGGTCGCTCCGGTCAACTGAGTATTCTGTATCCGAGATGGTCTTTTGTCACCCTGAACATCTATAATGATATAATGTACATCTCGACCATAAATAAATGTCTACATATTTTTATTGTATATATGTGTCTCTTGTACTGGTAGGACTTTGCCAAGGTCGCTTGAGAAACCATATCAGAAATTTATCGTTCTATATATCTGGATGCTACAGAAATACAATGGTTAAATATTACTTTTCAACATCTACTGGTACATTTTATGAAAAAAAAAAATCATTATATATAAAACAAAAAGAAAAAAAATTGTGTAAAATGTCAAAATATGACAATCTGATTTTAATTTATTTAAAAGAAAATGAAAAATGTTCGGTTTTTGTTTCATTAATCATTCAAGATTTCTAACCATTATTAGAAATTCCTGAACTGAAAAAGTCAGTGTTTTGGAGACAAAATGACGATATCTTTTCATGATGACGGGTTGAACACATTGTGTACCTGCCAGTGGAGTCGAGTCTATATACCACTTAATTGTCGGTTCGGGTTTGCCATAAGCACTACAGTTGAAGACAACATCTTCCCCTACATTTGCTTTGATTGGGTTAGGTTTCCGAATCCACGTAGGCGCCTCTGTTAAAGATGAAAACGTTATTTATCACAGCGGGAAGACGTAGCTATACATGTGATTAAATAACTTGTGAGTATGTATTCGAAGACAATGTGCTTGTTCTGTACAAACAGATATGTATTGAATATTTAAATTGTGTTTAAATGACGTCTTTTAATTTTAAATGATTCAGATTAAATAGATTTAGAAATTTACAACTCAACGAACCCAGTGACCTATTTTCCTTTTTCATTCCGTGTATGATAAAAACATGAAATTGCTTGCTTTAAGACGAAATCCTTACTTGAAGACATTAAAGTTGCCTCTAAGTTTCACCGTATACAAAATACGAAAGTTTACAAACAGATCCACATAGTTCGTTTCGTGTTTTAGATACTTGTTTATTTGTCTTAGCAAAACAACAACAAACAAATATTCAGCCGCACACAATGTTAACACAGCAAACAAATTTTATCTTGTCAACAGACAGCTGACAATAGTTACATGGACAACAACAACAAAACCAAATGTTGACTTATCAGTTAATTTTAAACTTACCAAAGCAAACATCTCTAACTAGTCGACCGTAAACAGATATTGCTGATTGAATGTACCTATACTGAGAACTGCTCAGGTTTTATAATATTATTAAACACGGTACTCACTGTCCACTTCTAGAGTAAAGATGGCGCCACTGGTAAGTGACGTTCCTGGAACACTACACTGATATCTTCCGGCGTCAATGAACCGCACGTTATTCAAGGTCAAGGTCCTTCCGTAATCAATTACCTGGTCTGTCCTCATCGCGGCTCCTGTGTCAGCGTTAGTCCAAACAATGTAAGGTGCCGGTCTGATGAACAAATTACACAGTAGATAATCAGCCGACAATTTAGATACATATTTTTGCTCTTTCCGTCACTGAAAACACGTTCTTAAACAATAATTTTGAAACATAAACGTCTTGTTTTAGTTTACAGTTGAAATTGGTCATAAATATCATGAAGCATTCTCTTAACCCAATAATAAAGCTATTGGATATCATAAGTGATGTGTGTTGCAAAAATTCAATCAATTAGACTCTTTATTGCGACATGGACGTACCTGCCTCCAACGATACACCTAAGTTTGACGTCACTTCCGTGTAACGCCACAGGATACTCATCCGAGTTCCATATAAGTTCAGGTGGGGTTACAATGGATCCCACTCCGTCTGTGGAAAATCGATCGATAAATATCTAATTTACGGTCGAATGGGTGTGGTAAGTTTACATATTACACATTTTTTTCTAAAAGTGTAAGATTAAATATGTTACAAATTGAAAATATCTAACAGAACACTAATGTTATGTTCTTAATGTGTTCATACAGAATTCTCAAGATGAATTTCAAAATCTATTTCAAATGAATCGCCAAATGAAGATATACCATGTTACAAGAATACTCCTAATTATTGATTAATCATTGATTAATTGCTGACTAGTTGAGTGAATCGAATAAAGGTATCCTCAACTGGTAAATGAAGAATGAAATTTGATAAAAAAAATCAAAATAAGATTGCGCTACCCAGTTGAAAATTGATTATAAAATTTAGCCGATGACTGCAATAACCCGATGTCGCCCACTTACGGATGATGTAGTGTATTCATCTTATTTTACGTTTGAGTTGAAAAGGTGTTCAATTTCAGAAGAAAAAAAAACAAAAAACAAAAACAAAAAACAAAAACAAAAACAAAAAAAACAAAAACAAAAAAAAGAAAATGGGCATTTTTTTCTCCTCTATTGGGTTGGGATCTATTCTATCTCTACTCTGATTGCAGACCAAAACAAAGTCGGAATAAACCGCAATTGAAATCCATTTTGTTTCAAAACAGCCTTATCTATTCCCCAAGGGAAAGATTTTATCAATATCCATTGAAATAAGTTTTCAAAAAACCTACAAGTGTTTAAAGTGAAACTCATGTGTCATACATCACAATGACTGGAGAAATTAATATACATAAAAAAAAACAATCTCAATACCTCTTATCTTTATGTTGAATATTGGACCATTTGTATATATTCTGAGTAATGAGTTGTAGATGACACATCTGTAGCTTCCGGTGTCGGTGCTGAGAACGTAGATGACATGAAGGTTACCTAGACAGAGAAAAGGGAATTTGAAATTTAGGTGTTTTACTACATCTAAAAGTGTTATATCCATGACAACGTACTATATCTGGTGTATATATTTTTTCATCCTAATCGTAAAATCTTATTTTAAACAAGACTGAATATAACAATATCAGAAATAATGAACAATGGTGTATGATATACGTTTATCATTAGGTGCGGTTTTAATGCCCGCAAGTATATCACGACTCCTTGACAGTTATGTCAGCATTCATCTATGATACTACCATTCAACTTTCGTGGAATTGATTACAACACAGAGTTGGCCTAGAGAAGATAAAAATGCTAGGAAAGTCAAGTAAATTTTTTTCACAAATATAGCAACGCTACCATTTGTATCTGATGTAACTCTTTCATCATACTGAATCCGCTGTTGCTGCGATGCCGCAACTCCTGCACCTGTGACCTTCACCCAATATACTTCCGCTTCCGGTATGCTGTGAGGGACCTCGCATGGTAGTGTGTACGGATGGTTTACGTCCGCTGTTTCGTTGAAGGCGATATTCCGGTTACTATGATCCTGTAACACTGCATGTGTTAAGTGAACGGGATAAGTCATTGCATCGCCGAAATCGTTACTTACGTAACAAATATACTCTCCTTCGTCCGACAAAGTGGGGTCATTTATTTGATGGTTTACATCAAAAATGCCGTTACCACTGACTATTTCTCTAAATTTTACTAGAACTCCGTTCTTTTCCCAAAAGAATCTGTAAAAGTAAAGAGTAAACGCTTATTGACAGCAACGAACTAGACGTAAATACACGTTTAACGTATTTAGATTGACCGATAGATATGATAAAAAAACAGAAAATATGTTTTACTTTAGAGTCAGATCTTACTTACATAGTACATAACGGTTTCGGGTATTTTTGTAGTTTTGGTATCTGGTATAAGGACGATATCAAGGACCTAACTAAGCTGTTTTTTCCCAAGAGAAGTTATCATGTGCCTTTAGAATTAATTAATTGCCAATTTGGGAGAAATCCTAAGAACGCTGTATTCCTTCTTTAACACTATAAAGACGCTAAAAAAACCTATGATGATTAAGATGATGACTTTAGTGTCCATGATTAGGTGTTTAAAACATTGTAGACACTTTTGGATTTTACTCCGTTTATTATTATCATTATTATCATTTCTTCTTCCGTTTTTCGCCAAGGTATAAATACTGAAAGGCTCTTAGATACGCAAACAAATGCCGCCGTCTGATTCGACAAGATGGCCGTCATCCTCTATCCCCTGATTGGCTAAAACCTTTTCACCTATGACGTTTGTTCTCTTCAGCGCATCAGGATGAAAATTGGTGGAAATTATAGGATACTCTCAAACATGGAGTGATAAAGACATGAGATTATCAGTAAAATGACTGGTTAATGGTAGCTTCTGATTGGTCGAAATTTAAATGTTGTCCAATTTAATGAAACTTAATGTACTTAAGTGCAGTATGACATCTGAAACAAGTTTTCTGATTGGACAAAAATTACCAAACAGGTGATAAGTCGAAAGTTTCATTTTATAGGTATACGTCAGGGTTCTCTGTTAGAGTTGTCGTGTTTATTGTTCAAAACAAGACTTTCCATTCCTATTTGAAGTGCTTGAAGAATCAGCATTCACGACTAAAATGGTTACTTGTGATACTTACGTAACGGTTTCCCATTACAATTAATACTGATTAAGATAAACCATGTACCTGATTGGGGTAGACCCGTCAGCGCTGCAAGCTAACTCGATACTAGAGTTGGAGGCCGAGGAGTAATAGATGTGACGTTGAGGCTGGAACAGTATTTTAGGAGGTCCAGTTCGTGCTGTTTTAAAAACAGGGTCATGATATTAAATCGAGTAACATAATTCAACGTTAGGTAGATTTTTGTCAATTACAAACAAAACAAAAAAACAAAAAAACAAAAACAAAAATAAAAAAACAACAACAACAATATTGGTGAAGGTCAAACTAGGAAATATCAGGTCTTGTTGTAATCTAAGGACATCATCATCCACGGCCATTTTATAGTCAGTAAAAGGGTCATTTTGTATCAAATGAACTTAAAGACCTGAATTGTTCTGTTCATTTCTTTGTTGTAAAAAAAAGGACACTTCATGACGCAAGAAAATATCTGGAACAATTTTGAGTATAGTTACAGTGCAGACTTTGACAGCAGTATCGAAAATGTTTTAGTAGACAATTCAACCTCGGCTTAATTTAAGAAACATTGTGTAAAATGTATTGCTAATATTCTGCAAATTGTGGCACACCAAATGCGAACGTAGGCCTTATAGATATGTTTGTCGAACATAAGAATGAAAAGGATATAAATATATGTAATCCTGGTAAATACTAGCCGCAATATATCGCTAGGCTACAGAGAATTTCTGTTTAGCTCGATCGGTTGAGCGTGAGACTTGTAAGCCAGGGGTCCCGGGTTCGAATTCTAAAAGATGCATTGAGATAAGTAATGACCTCTGTTAGATATGTTAATAAAGGCAGGTACAGTATTTGTAAATGTTGACAGAAATATGTACATACCTTGATTAATGTCGAATGCTGTTAACATGATAATAACACTACAGATAATGTGCTGCATGTTGATGGTCCTGAAATAGAAATTGGTCATATATTAGTATAAGCAGCAATCTGCTTAACAGTTTAACTAAATATCACATTTTATGTAAATTTATGGATAAATATATCAAACTCGGGTACAGTAACGACAGGTAATTCTAATATGAAACATTCAGATCAACAACATGTCATGTTGATATTTTCTTGTTGTTTATTTACTGTGTGTGATGCATTTTGTTTATTTATTGATATTTGAACATTACTTTAACATTGCTTTTTCAGATTTTTATGTCATGTAAATATACTATTTGCCGCTATGATAATGTCGAGCATCGATAGCTGTCAATCACAACAACTTTCACACATCCCTTTTTGGGATGTCGTGGTGTTGTAATGCTCGGGCAGTCTGGAATTTCGTTGCTAGGCGATTTGGTGCCATAGATCGTTAGTTCGAGGCCCGAATAGGGCAGGATTCAAAACTTTTTCTCTCTCGTCAAATGCCTTACTATACCCAATATATCATAAACAACGACAATACAACACAGTTTTACAAGAAAAAAAGATGAAATAAGTAATGCATAAGACGAAAAAAACATAAACAAACTTTTAGCTTCCATTTGGCAAAATGAATTTTAAATGAGTAGGTTTCGCTTATCACGAAACCCCATCGGTAAACCGTGTGACATGCTTTATTGACTAGACTGTGATCTGTATAAAAGTGTGTTTAGGTGAAGTTTTGTACATAACCAAGTGGGAAAATATGTCTTTTTAAGCAAGTGTGTTTTCAGATTATAGGAGAGAGAGCAGAACATCAATGTTACATGACAATATAAGTGTCTTAATTCACACACAGTCATGGATGTGTTACATATATAAATTTCTAATGATAATATCGAAACCGGAAAGTTAATATATTTTCTAAACCAAAAAAAAAAAAAGATGTCAGAAAATACTATTGACGAAGGAAATATTTACTCAGATGATAGAGGTGGAATTGAAAATGGAATTTCAAAAATATCATTTTAAATATAAAGAAAACATATATTGTGTATCTGCTAAAACTTGAGTTTAATTTCGTCTGCAGTTTAGATAAGCTATACTGGTGACTTATGTAAACCCTTCATTTTGCATTTTATCATCAATTCTCTTATAAGATTGAATCATGTGATCAGTCGGGTTCTTCTCTTTACATGTATTTCATTACAAACTGATTTTCCAAATTCCTCTCTAGATTTCAATCTATTGCTTCTATCATTGTTCACGAGCCCCTGAAGCATTGGCACGATACAATCTTAGAATTTGGTTTAAAATTATGTATTACAAGATACATGTTTGTTCAAACGCAATATCGGTTGAACAGTATCTAAATTTATGCAACGTGCCCTAGACTAATGTTTATCATTTACAAACTTTTCAGCTAAGAATGCTGGGCAAAAAATACTCTTCTTTACCAAGCGGGCATATTACAGTAAGTTATATGAGAAATATTTACATAACGTTGTCGTAATATGTATGTACACGAGTGTGATTTGTGATCAGGAAAAATACAAGCTAAACGAATGGTAGAGATTGACCTTGATTTCACCGTCGCTTTAATTGAACAAAAAATACCATTTTATATATAATTGTCTGGGTATAGAAAACAGTCACAAATTCAAGACTGCTAGAAGTACAACTTCAAGTTCCAACAGGCATCATGCTCTATCTTGTCGACTCTATAGTTGATTAGGCATCCATTGATCTGAGATACTATCAGACTTAAACCTTTTAGTGAGTCATCAAGTAACCCCCAGGTGTAAAATGTACATAATATTGCATATATGTAAATTCAAACAACTATTAGCTGAATACTGTAAATGTCAACACGACACAACCCATCCATCGGCCTGAGAATTCCGGATTCTAAATTTTCTAAATAAAACAGCACAATTCACGAGAGGTGCATGATTATATAGCTATTTTCGATATTTTTCCGGAATAAAGGCAAAAGTGATCTGCGAGAGAGTCGTCCCAATGCATGTAATATCTTAGGTTAAACCGACTTAACCTTCAAACAAATAATGTCAAAACATACAAACTGAAATGATATGATATTTTAAATCCCATATGGACTTCATTGATTACTTATATTCTACTTTCCTTTACATAAAATACATTGGCATTAATGTTAATCCACGTGGACTTTTAAATGTGTTTTCTCGTATTGTTTGTGAAAGGAGATACAATCTAGACGATGTATGTAACGTGAGCGCCACCACGCTATGTATGTAAGTAGCATTGTGTGATGGACTTGAAGACGTTGAGAAACGTGAGAACTTAATATTATATTATGACAGTTTAGGGTAAATATAAACCAAATTTATGTGGGAGGTTTTCAAGATATGTTATTGATTCCAAATGTAACGGGATACAACGCGCCATAGGTATTTACAAACAGACCGACGGACAAATGAAACATTATATGCCATAAAATGACGGGGTAATTAAAACTTTGCTATTCCAAAGTTATTGGTTAACCATGTTATTTCATTACAACAAACATGTGATTCGACTTTATAAACATATTTTTTTTTAATTAAAAAGGGAATATGGAAAATTTTTAAATACTTGCTTATCATATCACATACAAAGATACACGGTACATTGTCGATGGCATTTGTCATTTTAGCTATACCTATTTTGTCTGAACACACAAACACATGGGTATAGTAGCCGAACAATATAGCATGATGTCTAACTTGGAATGAAAATGGACCAGGATAGGTCAAAATAAAAAAAAACATAAATGTTATGATGCTAGCACAAACAATATAATGTGTTTTATTATCCATGACCAATAATATTACAGCAAATGCTGTCAAATTCTGATACACCAAATTCTGATGTCACGTGATCCTCCTAGGCTTGTTAATCCTAATGGTGGTAATATATGTTGTAACATTACAGGACAACTAGTGTTGAGTTAACAGAACCAATGGATCTTCACGGAATCCTGCTGTATAGATTATCAGTCTGGATAGTCTTATTAATCGCATCTTATCCTGGTATCATCGATTTGAGGTCACATTACTCTGTGTTTATAAGTCAATATTTTCTTTTTTTCACTGAAATTTTTGTATTTTGAAAATGGTATCTAAATATGTTTTTCTTATGTTTACTTATATCTTGTCGTTTTTCTCGATTTTGAAGAACGTTTTAGTTTAATGCTAATTTTGTATTCCTCCAGATATTGATCATTTACAGCAATTAAATAAAATATCAAATTAAATATCCTGTGATATACACTATTTCAAAATAAGCAAATAATCAGTTGTTATTTATGTATTTCGTAAAAATGAGATTGCGTAACACTGAACGTTGATACTTTTATAAATAAGGAAATGAATATTGTATAAATACTTTGTAATGAAACAGAAAATGAAAACATCTATTTCAATCAAGTTGACTTGCTAAACTGTTGATATGACTATTAATTAGTTCAACATTACTCACCCCTATGTCACCCAGATATGTTTATATTGATTGAGAAACAACTGGCCTAGAGACTTGTGTGAAACCATTAATCTTCTCCATTATTGTATATGCATATCAAGTAAATGCCATATCTACAGACGTTGTCATGAAGTTTAATAAACACAAATTCCTTTAATTATAATTCTCTATTTATGACAGGTCAGCTTTTTTGTTTTGACAAAGCCCAGCTACCTTGTGATTTCTCGCTAACTCATGTCATATACATTGTGTCAGGTAACTAAAAAAGTTCACAAGGACTCTTTCTAACTAGTTTACATAACCTGCTGGCATTTCCACACACATGACCACACGTATGCGACTAAGTGACTAAACTTCAATGGGAATATAGTTTGGCACTGAGGATACCTCCAATGACTGTACTAGGTGTGTCAAATGGATGTGTCATTTCCTTTGTTATTAACGAGTCACTACTACTTAGGTAGAACAACAGTGTTTCGATACGTGTAGAAGTACAGAAAACTTTTAAGGGATACCCCTATATTTAGACTGTAGAGAACATTATTTCTTATAACTATTAAAATACCCACACATTCAACTGAAAATTGTCAGAGAACAGTTTTCTCCATAATTTGGAATGATAACATTCATTTTCGGTAAAAATTAGTTCAAAACAGTGAAACAGCAATGTTAAGGATCGAAACCTTTCTTCTGTTTTCTTATCATAAGCCAGCGAGGTAAACAATTATGACTGAGCAGAATTTCGAGAATCAAAAACACAAACATATAAAAATCGATTTCCTACCAGCAACCCAGTTACAAGGAACGAGATCGGTGGTACACTTTCTGACACAGCAATTGATCTGACCTAATTTAGACAACCAATCGCTAAAATGGTTAGAATAAATACTTTAATAGTAAACAGATAAACAAATCTTACCTTGGTACTTAATTATGCTGTGACCAGGAAACGTCCTCTAAACAGGGTACTCCCGTTCCAAATAAGTTAAATAGCACATGTGTTTACATCTAGACTAACACACCTGTTCACGCCTACCTGTCTATTCAGAGACAAACACACTACAATACAAAAATAGCTGGTATATAGCCAGCCGTCACGACTGAGAAAAAACAGGTATCAATACCCGTGAACGACTTTGCTTGAGGCACCCAGCCTTAACACCGAGTCTGACTTTTGTGTACTACATAGTGCGTGTGTACTGAAGCGCGAACTACCTATATAGACGGACTGTAAATAAAATAAGCGTGATTCACAAGTAAGACGACAATAACAAAAGTTAACGTAATATTGAAGTTTTTTTCTGATATTTTTAATTCATAGATCTATTGTTCTGATGAAGGATTAATATACAGAACATAACTAGTATGTTAAACTCTCTATCTATACATAACTAGTATGTTAAACTCTCTATCTCCATCTTGTTTAATTGATAAAATATATTTAAACAACAAAACATAACAAATATCCATATGACACTGTAGCCAAAATGTTATGATAAAAATTTGTTTAATTTGGATAACAGTCGTGCATTTTTAAACATTATTGCAAAATTTCAATTTTTGCACAATTTCAGTTTCTGAGAGGGGACATAACTCTAACTTGACTACATCGCAGTATAGAACATTAACACGTATTAATTTACTCATTCATTCACTCATTATTTAGCCAGTGATTCGTTTCTTTTCATTTCCACATATTGTAGTGTCCATCTTTTATATTTTCATAATTTTAATACTGATTGATTTAGAATTGAGTAGAAACACAGTAAACTCGACGGAATATGATTGTCAAATAATTTATTATATCTTGTTTGGTTTCTGTAAAATTATGTAAGTGATAAGTCTAATCCCATAAGCTAGGTCACACATCTTATTTTATATCATACACTTCAAATTATGAGAACACTGTTTTACTTGAAACCAAATACATTCCATCTACAACAGTAG